AGAGAGAGAGAGAGAGAGAGAGAGAGAGAGAGATTGAAACAGTACAGAGAAGATTAGCATGCCAAAAAAAAAAAAAAAGGTGGGAATGCGTCTATTGCAGTCAATGGACCAGATACATTCACACTTTTTTGCTGCAGAGCAATACACACACACACACACACACAGAAAGAGAGAGAGAGAGAGAGAGAGAGAGAGAGAGACGCTAGATTTGGAGGTAAAGATGTACATCCTTTACGTTACACCACCAGTACATGGCCCCCAGCCAAGTTGAGAGTTCGATTGAGCCTCTCCAAAAATTTTGGAGGCGCAGGATAGGGCATCCGAAGGACCAGTAGAATAAGAATTTTTCCCATGCCGTGGGGTGGAAATAGGTACAGCGCTGAATAAAAAAAAGAAAAATTCCCCCCGCCCGCCCCCAGGCGGGCCCTGTCCCGAGTCCTCTTAACTTTTCGGAGAGGCTCATCCGAATCTCCAGATGTTCTGGTGGTTTAAACCACCACTGTTCATGAGGACACCCGCAACTTGCATCACTTCACAAGAGGGCTGCAGGTTCGGCCAGTAGCAGTTTGGTGGTGAGTGCATGTGCACAACAATGTAGAAGCCCCTGCAGATTGCCTCAATAGATTCCACAAACTAGGCTTGGAGACTGGTGGTTTGAACATCAAGGTTATCCCGAGGAAGCAATTTCTTTATTCCGGAGTCAGCATTAAATGTACCAACTATGCCTTAAGCTATCCTAAGGTTATGGGTCTATTCCTACCCCAACTCTGCTCTGTGAGGGGAGCAGTACCCAAGCTCCTAACATCTGGCGTGGGCTGGAAAGTGAGGTAGCGACAGCCAGGAGGGACAAGGTTGCGATATTGCAAGGCATTCCACTATCAATTGAATGAAGATTCATGTCTGCTTAGAAGTCTCACTGTGGTATCAAAGATCTCGCAGCACAAAGACATTGTGACTTGTGAGTTAGTCTTGTGACCAAGCAGTAGCCCCTGCCCCTGGGCACACCTACGACTTCCACCTTTGGTTCCACAGAGTCATTTCAAAAGGATACCCTATGTGAATTCGGTATTTGCTATGGAGATACTGTTGCGATTGTAACTTTCTCCAGTTTCAAGGAGGGTGCCATCATCATGAACGTTGCACACTCTGTGCTCTTAGATAGCTCATGTCGATTTGTGGGGAGCAGCAGCCTAAGTAAAACCCTTGCCTAGGTATAAAATAGAAGAATTGGCATGACACCCCGGGCACTTGCCCTCCAGTCTAGCGCAGTCACTTGTGTATTCATCAGCTGTTGGGATGTCGTCCCCTGCCCTGCCGTACCCTGCTCTCTCTCTCTCTCTCTCTCTCTCTCTCTCTCTCTCTCTCTCTCTCTCTCTCTGTGCGTGTGTCTGCTCCCTTATTGCGCCTCCTCTCTCTTCCCTTCTCTAGGAGGGGTTGTCTCCCTCCAAATTGGGGACTCTTGCGGCCAGTCACTTATGCCACCAGTACAGCTGAGCCTGGCAGACTCGGAGTTCGCATCAAAGCTTTGGCAAACCGCCAGTGGGGCAGTTTTTCTCTCTTTTGGCTGGCGCCACCGGCCATTGTGGTCCAGAACCCCCGAGCCTTCAAAATTTTAGGAGTGAACCGTTCGTTTTCTAAGTTGTGTGGGACCATGTACTGGCGGTTCAAAGGCAGGAGTGAGGTTGTTAAAGCAGATTACCGTTCTGAGCAACCAGAGGGGAAATTATTTAGGGTTAAGCGGTGCTAGAGGATTGTTCTAAGCGACCATACGGGCAATCATTGGGGGCTGCGTCTGATCTGTCAGGGGAGGCTGTTGGAGTAGGGTGACTGTCCCAAGCTACTGCGCGGACAGTAGCTGTGGGTGGGGTTGGGGGTAGATGACTGTGTGACCCACAACTGCAGGGATGGTCATAAGCGTGGGCTGGCCTGGTCTTGGAAGAGAGGCATGTGACTCTTGCGGGTGGTGGCCTCAGGGAAACAAGACTGTTCCTAAGGGTGGGCTGCTCCGCTCTTGGAGGGAGCTTGAGGGGGATGATGCCTCATGGAGTTGGGGTTAGGTATCAGCTGGGGTAACCGATGGAAAAAGGAGTATGGTGGGTTGGCCTGGTCTTGGAAGAGAGGCATGTGACACTTGGGGGTGGTGGCCTCAGGGAAACAAGACTGTTCCTAAGGGTGTGGGCTGTTCCGCTCTTGGAGGGAGCTTGAGGGGGATGATGCCTCTAGGGGATACGATGCCTAATGGCATTGGGGTTGTGTATCAGCTGGGGTAACAAGTATGATGACTGGACTCGTGGGAGGGAAAAAAACGGAATTAGAACGACGCTCAACAAAGAACTGAACAACTGAAATAAGAGGGAAAAATGATGACTGTGACTGCACAATAGGACCGATTCTAGATAGCGGTGATGTGATGATAGAACCGCTATCTATAATCGGTCCTATTGTGCGGAATTTACCCCTTGATGGGGTGAGTAGACAATGGCTGAATGAAGGAGAGAAGAAAAACTGAATGAATGGAGAAAGAAATGATTGAGCGGAAAACAAGAATGGTTGACTGGACTTGTGGGAGGGAGAAAACTGGAATTAGAACGTCGATCGACACAAAACTGAACCACTGAAATAAGAGGGAAAAATGATGATGGTGCCTGCATGATAGGACCAATTATAGATAGCAGCTGTGTAGCACACCGAACGCGTTCGGAGCTTTCGCGAACGCCCGAACACGATCGGGTGTTCGGCCGTACTCCTCCCAAACGTGTTCGGTCGAACATATTTTTTATAGGGATTTGTTTTTTTTTTTTGTTTTGTATTTTTAACGCGAGTTTGGCTAAGAATGTGAACAGGCCTCCCAGGCAAAAGCTGTTTGTATTTAATGTATTGTTATTTTACATTGAAACGGTTTTTCACCTTAGCGGTAACAGATGCAGATCCCAGGGTTCGATCCCTAGACCTTACCACACCTGCAACCAGACTCGCATACTTCGTCACTTCACATGCATACAAACAGATGGTGAATCACACTGGCGCATAGCGCCCAACTCAAAGCTCGAAGATATGGAAACCAAGACACGGTTCAGATGTAAGCTCGCTTCAACAGGCTATGGTACATCAGCACCCACACATCGCAACTCTTGTCTCTGTGTCCCACACCACTGTTCGCTTCACACTTCGACTCCGGATCACCCTGGATACCCCACGCACACACACTGTACACACACTACACTAACAGTTATGGCAGCTATGGCCGCCACTAACACTACCCTACAAGCAGCTATGGCTGCGCTAACTCCTTCAGCCCACTTTGACTTCAGGCTCCTCTGCAGATCACCTCGCACAAGTCACCATGGCAGCAATTCCGCATGGCTTCTGCAGGAATGAATGAATGGCTGTGCGCTGCCTCTTGATTTATACTTCTGTAACTCGTTGGTCTGCCTCTTTCCACCGGGCCCAAGGTGTACACAGTCCCCCTTGGTACTTGCTGACCGTGCAGAGTGAGATTGGGACTGGGTACCGCTGACTAAGCGAAGTTGGACGCACCACTTGCCCACTTGCCTYTGGCCTTCTGTGGAAAACGTGAGAGGAAAACTCGAAAGGCCACTTCCGGACCTTCTGGAAGACCGTGGACTTGGCCTTTCAGTACTGTAGYAGCTACGACCTTGACCCTTCAGGACTGTAGCAGCTACGACTTTGACCCTTCGGGACATCTACAGCTACGACTTCTGGAACTCTCTAAGACCTCTACTCGACARGTCTACARATCGAATCCCTATGTCCACACAGTCCTACGACAGACAAACAACACCTCATAAAACACAGGTCACGGGTTCAAGCACTCAAGGGTCAACTCGATACTATACATGGGTGAGGTAAGGTCTGTGGATCAAACCCCGGGATCTGCATATGCCTTTGCAAAGGTGAAAACCGTTTCACTCCCGCTGACCTAAATTCGAGGTCCTCCAAGAATGTCGCAGTCCAAGGCAGGACCTTTACCTTTCCTATCTCTTTCATAGGCCCTGACTATGTCGGGAGCTGTTTCTAGAAGTTCACTTCTGGTAAACCAGCGGTCGTCTTCCGGTTCCTGATATGCGAATCGGACGACCTCTACCTCCTGTTCTGAATATATCTTCACCTACAATGGCGTCAATGTCGTATCTTCCATCCATATCCGGAGGGATCATGGACCTTCTGGAGGGAAACTGTTGACTTGTGACACACGACAGTAACTTTAATGCGTGAAATACTGGGTAGGTGTGGAGGTGCGCTGGAATCTCTACTGTATAGGATGGCCCATCCTCTCCGCCCTTAACTTCTAGGACTGGCCACGGTCCTCTATACGCGGACAATAGCTTTTGCAAGATGTTCTCCTCAGGAGCAAACTCTTTTGACTTGACCCAGACTAAGTCGCGTACTTGAAACTGCGACGGGCGACGATGCTTGTTGGCTTGCTCTATCATCCTATGCTGGGCCTTCGTGAGGTTCTCTACAACAGTAGCTAGTTCTTTCTCGTGCTGTATCGCGAACT